AGGGTGGGAGCTGGTGGGTGGGCGGGGCTTCGGCAACATATGCTGTATAAGGTGCACAGACATTTCTGCCTGTTTTTTTCGGGGGGGGGGAAGTGCATCTTAAACACCGAAAAATATGGTACATATTGCATATCTGATACAAAGTAACTGAAATCTAAAGCTAAATTTGGTCCAAGAATTTATGTGAGTTGACAAAAGTTATAATATATTTCACAGAAATTTGGATCAAATATATCATTTTACATATAGTGATGTTTAGGAGTTGGGAACCCTTTTAAATATTAAGTATTTCTACAGCAATATAACCTAAAACCTGACTGGTTTTTCACAAAATTCTAAAAGTAGATAAAGAGAACCCAATTAACACATTTGTTTATGAATAATAAAATAGTTTTCCTAGGATTGAAAAGGCATTCTAGCCATCTCTTAATGTTCATGTAACTGTAACGGACTTATGACCACAAATAGGACTAAAACCTCTGTCATTTAGAGATGTGGTCATTAAGTGAATTATCACATGATCAATTGAGTTGTCACACCAATTTTATGACCTTTATAGTTAGTGTCTTTAAGTGAATCATAGTTGTTATGTGAAGCCGTTTTTCCACCCATTTACTTTGCTTCTTGGAAGCTAGATGGGAAAGTTACAAATGGTGACCAAATGTTCCTCAGATACTGTAATTGTCGTAAATGCACGCCGACTGCCAATTGCCTGAATCATGATCACATACATGACTGCAGGGATGCTGTGAATTTAAGGAGCACCTGCAAAATACTTTTTTTCAGTACTGTCATAACTTAGAATGGCTTCTAAATGAATGACTAGAGGTCAAGAATTTCTTGTAAGCTGCTTCAGCGATAGAGGTATAAATTCCTCTCCCTATTTCTTTAAAGCAAAAAATATTTTAATAGATATAATGTGGGATATTAAAAAAAAATACCTGCCAAAAAGTTTTCAATTCTGATTTATCCAGACCATTTCCAGAAATCTTCAAGGCATTCATACAAGATGATGACAGGGATTGAATCTGATTTCCATGCTGATCAGTAATCATTATCTCTTTTTATATATATATATAAAGTACAAGTTATAAAAATATTGTAGAATTACAATACAGATTAAAATATTACCATATTTATAATATGTTATTGTAAACTACATTCTACATAAAGCTTAAAAGTTCTCCTTGATGTTAAATACAACAGTAGTTTGATTTCATGCTTATTCAAGATCTGAAATGGGCTTAACTACGCAAACAGAATATTTTATCTCAGAGTCTAAATGTAATAGAAGCCTAGAATCTTAGTCAACATGCCATTAATGCAAACTTAACAGCACTAAATCAAATCAGAATGTGGGGCCAAATGTAAATGTAGATTTACTTTGCATACTATGGACAGATTGGAACTCAAATATCTTGAGAACTGACTGAGTAAATAAAAGCAACACGACCGCAGCTGGTGAATATATTGCCATGGTACTATCAAGGTGTCAGTTAAAAATGTTAAGAGTTACACATATATACCAATTTCATCTTGCAGCTTTTCACCCATTTTTATTATATTTGGTCCTTTAATTTCGCATTTGATATGTTTTGGCTCATCAGCAAGTGGTCTAGTGAAATAAACAACAAGAGATTAATATACATTTTAAGGAAATAGAGGTAAATTTCATATTGTTCATACTTTGTATAGCTAATCTTTATTGAGATTCGGGCAGGGACATTTGCAGAAATGGGAGTGGAGGAGGGGAGAAAATGACAGAACATGTGTTGTGATGTAATGCAAACTCTACCCCTTGTATACTTTGCATATGACACTGCTACAAATACAAAAGGGCAGACCATGCATTCTGTTGTCATAATACATGTTTTGTTATTTTGGCATCATTATGGCAACATGCAGGTTTTGATCTTCTTCATCTCCAATAACTACAAACCCTACGATGGAGTAATTACAAAGCACCTCTTTTCCTGCTCCTGAAGTGATCTTGTGGCTTGAAGCCCCAAAACAGTTGTGCTTCTACTTTCTACTTATCAGACACAATCTTCTAGGCTTCACTAAGTGTCCCCCTGAACATTGATCTTTTCCAGAGAAAACTGTAGAAAGACAATCACACAATTGTGAAGGCAGTTGGCAACTGGTTGTAAATGTGAGCAGGCTGCCAACCACCCTAAATGTGGTGATGTGATTATAGTTGGGCAGGTGTAACATTTATATATGTTAATATACAGTATGTCTTCTTAACATTCATACTGTATGTCTGTATAAACAAAAGTTGGCAGTAACAGTATTTTGCCCAGCAGGAAAAGCTACAGTATAAGCTTCATTACTGAAACATGATTGAAGAAAATGTACAAACCTGACCACAAATGAACTTGTCAAAGACACGCGTTCATCACTGAATGTAAGCAGACAACAGCATTCATCTTTTACAGATGTTGGAACTTTCACATTAGGTAGCGATCCTTGGATCAGTTCTTTGCTATTAAGCTTCGGAGTCCAGCTTACCTAAGATAAAAAAAATACTTTGGATACTAGAAAATAACATTTTTCCTGGTTTTGATGATTTTTTTTTTTTGGAAATCCATGAACACCTGAATGTCCTAAATGGAAATACTTTTAATGGATTGAACTGAAAGTGTTTCAATTTAATATAAGCAAACCTGAATATCCAAAATTATGTACATGCAATAAAAGTGTAACATAAATATGTTCCCAGTATAATGCTCTCACGGTAGACTATGACAACTGTTTGAAATAATTAACAAAAAATACTTTTCAAGAAAGGTGAATCACTTCAAAGTCCATGTAAATTTCAATCCCACCGGAATCCTGGATCCTGGATTTTGAACACATTTTGTAAGTTAGCCCATTTGAGAAAACTTTATCCAAAAGTTGTTGACTTGTGATGTATTGCGTCTCCCAGTTAAATGCTAGTGGGTGGTATCCAGATCAGAAAGGTAACAATGCTTCAAATCTGGAGTTGATATCCTCTTGGTACCTTCAGATTGTGCCTTAAAGCTGCTGAAGCTTTTGGAGG